CTGCATAGACAATTTCACAAGGATTCCAAAAGTCCTCATTTGCTATTTTACGAATTTCCTATGAATTACTATGAATTTCTAAAGTTCCTGCAAAATAATTACAAACCAGTCCTTACGGTACTATTCACATGAGTCACCGACTTGCAGTTAGGACCCCTGAACTTCGTCGAATTCTAGTAGGAGGTCCCTGACGGGATTTTGAGCGGGGAGGCCGTCTGGAGTCGCTGCTCCGGCCGTAGGAGGCCATGCTGTCGGCGGATGAGATGGGCGGGGAGCACCAGGGGTCCCTGCAGCAGCGCCATGGTGGTCACGGATGGCCGAGAGGTGGCACTGAGGTATCGCCATGTGTCGTTGGCTTGGGTCGGATGATGGCGGCGATGATCATGGTGCTCTCCCAACGTGGTTTTGGACGGCGAGCACGAGCACGAGATGCAGGAGGTGAAAGGCGGTTGCTGGTAGTCCTCGGGAGGAGTGGAGAGCGCGGAGTAGAAGGAACGCAGTGACCCATGAGTTTCGGCGGCGTCCATGGCAACCATGACCATGGCGAGAGCAGAAGGAAGTGAGGCGAGTGGGAGGCGAGCAAGTGAGAGGCAGGAGGAGTGGTGAGCGTCTGGCGCGCGTTATGGAGGAGCAGAGCACAAGGAGGCGCTGCAAGACGCGCGCATGAGAGAGAAGAGGCGCTTCGGGCATGGCTGCCACGCACGGCCACGCCGCGTCGTTCACAGAGGCATATTCCCGAACAGGTGGCGGGCGAAAGAACGTGGGCACGGTGGGCGCTGTTATTGGGCCATCTCTGGGCTGATTAAGACCTTGGGCCCAAAACGAAGTTTGAAGCCCGCGAACTGCTCTACATTTTTCATTTAGAGACCAAGGTCATTAGAGCTCTTCAACAGCGGGTAATTAAGCCACAAACTGCTAGTGTCGGGCGCTTTGATAGCGGTCACGGAAATTCACTTTCGGAGGTCAAAACTCGGTCAAACTCAGTGCAACTTTTGCATGCTCTTCTCCATAGTATAACCTTCAACTTCTCTTTTGGACCAACTCAAGTTGCTTAATGAATTTCGGAGAAACGCGGAATGCCAACGTCGTTGTTTGAATGAAACCGACTTAGAATAATTCTAAGTGTTGAAATCAGCAGCAGGTTCCAACTTCGAGCCTCTGTTTGACTTATTTCCAAGTTGATCTAGCTCTTGGTCCAAAAACAAAGTTTGTTCTACATGATATGTACTACAACTTTTATTTAAGGTCCAACCTCAAAAATGGTATAGAACCTACTGTTCTACTTTGACCAATGTAGGATCACGATGATACTTAAATTATCCTTTTTGATCCATTGGAGCATTTTCTTGGTATTTTCTCAACATGAACCCTTCATGACTTTTGTTGTAGAGTTCATCTAGAATCATTTGGGCAAGGTTGCAAGGTTTGGTGAACAATCTAGAATTCCATTCACTTTATAAAACGATCCAAGCAAGGACATAACTTGTCATTTCATGTGACTTCTTGATTCCAAACTTCATGAAACTTTTCGAGTGCCCAATATAGATGGGTATTGATGTGAGACATATGAAGATATCCCAATCACACCACCCAAGCATATATCTTGAAAAGGGGTCTATAGGCGAGCACAGGTGCCATATCCAAGTTTAGGTTGGGGCTCGTTTCTATAGGTTTGACCTTGACATCTTCATCATCACTTAATATACCATGTTTTAGCTCAACCCCATTGTTTAACTAGTGGCAAACACCTGGGGTGTTACAAAAGGAAATCTGATTGCTTACATAGAATGGTTAGTTAATGAACCAATGCGGCTGTTAATAAAAATCGATTATAAGGACGCACGCTTAGTAATGCTTCCTGCAAATGCAATAAACCCACAAGCCAGATAGCCTTGCATATCCTTGGAATCTTTTCTTTCCTCATGTCGGTTAAGTCTTGCTGAGTACAATTGAGTACTCAGGGTTTTATTTCCCCTGTTGCAGGTGACATGTGGATGCTAAAGCTGACTCTTATGTGTGGATTCCTCCTGGTGGGCTCAGAGAAAATTTTCTTTACGCTGCGATCATAGTTTTTATTTATAACTCTCATTAAATGTTTTATAAAGGAAAGTTTTCTAATCTGTTGTCATAGTTTACATATCAATGTTTCACCATGCCATGAATAGATAATTATTTCCGCTGTAATTCTGATCACATGTTTATATTCCGCTATTACATTGAATTGTTCATAACTCTGATAATATGATTACATTCCGCTGTTATACTCTGATGTACATGTAAAGTCATGTGAGAAATGGTTAAGAATGATGTAAGTTTTATTCTCTCATTTGTGATCCTGATGAAAAATATGGATTTTTGGGTTCTCCCCTGGGGTGTGCCCGACGAAACTACGTAATTTGGTATTCTCCTTCGAGTGCTTAGTGTCTAATGGAAGACGAGCACTCTTAGGAGACATAAGATTAGGCGGTTCTGCCACAGGTGGTATCAGAGCATAAATGAGAAAATAAAGCTTCGAAAATCTTTTCTAAACTAAATTTTGACAACCTATTGTTGCAAAAAGTTAGGGCATTCAACTGCGAAGTTATATAAGTAGCCCTATTACTATGGTTACGTATTCAGGATAGATGGCACTCTGCTGACTTAGGTAGGCTTAATCAAGTTTTCTGCAGGTACACTGACTCGAGCATAGTCCGATAGTATCGACTAGCTACAGGGAGATAACACTGTGCCAAAAATCTGAGAACGGTTGCCCTATATGTTGGCAACAATGAAATGACGTATAGGACGTGCATTCATGCATATCCTGTTTGTGCATTATAGCGCTCGTATTACTTGCAGATACGCCATCCATAGGTGTCACGCGTGTCGTATTGTGCACTGCTGATTCGTTCCTGTTCCAGAGTTAGATCTGCACTATGGCTTCGTGCTCCGCGTTCGCCCGTGGTTCACGCCTGTTGTGGCCCACGTCTCCCCGTACCCCTTTTCTATGCTCTTATCGGACCCTTGCCCTGCAGTCATACTAGTCAGTAATGGCATCGCACGTCGCTAGCCTCGAACGCGTGGAATTTGGTCGATTCATCGTAGTGATCCCTCGCGGGAACCCTGGTGGACCGCGCCAGGACCACTGAACGCTTCGCCTTTATAAGCAGAGCCTGACTTAGCCATCGATACCACCACTCGGTGCACTTTAGCTCGCTTAGCTTTTCCTTTGAGCCAGCTTTTCGCTCAGCCTTCCTCACAACCACCGCCAGAAATGGTAGGAGCCTGGTTAGTAGTTAATGTCTGAACGTTGAGGGTTTTCCCAGAATCCTGCATGACACCCTGCAAAAGCTCGGAGTCAAAGATCGTCCCGAGTATGAGGGCCGTGAGTATGAGGAGCATGGCACCGAGCGGTGTGAGGTTACCGTCTACATCGGGAAGAGTGAAGAGTTCCCCGACCTCACTAAAGCCTGGAGTGTGACCGCAACCGGGTTTAGCTTCATCGACACCTACTAGGTTGTGGCCCGCAAAGCGTTGCGGTACCTCTGCCACATCTATGAGGAGCCCATTGTCTGTACCTCCATGAGGTTCTTTCCACCTTTGGACAAGAATCGGCGGTTAAGTCTTGCTGAGTACAATTGAGTACTCAGGGTTTTATTTCCCCCGTTGCAGGTGACATGTGGATGCTAGAGCTGACTCTTATGTGTGGATTCCTCCTAGTGGGCTCAGAGAGTATTTCCTTTACACTATGATCATAGTTTTTATTTATAACTCACATCAAATGTTTTATAAAGGAAAGTTTTCTAATCTGTTGTCATAGTTTACATATCAATGTTTTACCATGCCATGAATAGATAATTATTTTCGCTGTAATTCTGATCACATGTTTATATTCCGCTATTACATTGAATTGTTCATAACTCTGATAATATGATTACATTCCGCTGTTATAATAATAAATGTTATACTCTGATGTACATGTAAAGTGATGTAAGAAATGGTTAAGAATAATGTAAATTTTATTCTCTCATTTGTGATCCTGATGAAAAATGTGGATTTTCGGGTTATCCCCTGAGGTGTGCCCGACGAAACTACGTAATTTAATGTTCTCCTTCGAGTGCTTAGTGTCTAATGAAAAACGAACACTCCTGAAAGACATTAGATTAGACGGTTCTACCACACTTAGCATCAAACACTCGCCATCAGAAACACATGAGATGACAAAGCAAAAGATGTCAAGCTGTGTGTAGATCGCAAACGTCGCTCAACAAAGCGCGGATAGACCAATCGGCAATCGTTGGTGGTGGAGGAAAATGTTCACAGGATTTTATTTCACATCAGTTACCACGGCGAACATCGTTATGGGCAGGCGTCACGTCACGCCGAGCATGCAAAGCCCATGAAATGGGGAATATATATACATACAGCGGCAGCGCATATGCCGAAGCAAAACTGTGTCAACAAAAGTTCCTTTTTAGGTAAAAACTCCACTACCCACTACAGCGCATTGCTTTTCCAACATCTGCCAATGTGTAAACCCATCGTCTAGACTCAAGAGCTGATTCATCAGAGTTCGTGCTTCAAGATCATCACGGGCATAAATAAATCAATAAAGTATGCTTATAACGTCGCAAGAACCCAATGGTTTCTTGCAGAAGTGCACCTTCGTCCTGTTCTACCCTAGAATCTTCCCTTCTTTTGATTCTTTTCGGCACTTTCTTGCATCGGTTGCCTCTTGGCAGTCACCACAAACCAGGGTGCCAGTATACAAATGAAATTATTCCTGGGTGTCGGTACAAACTGAAGCAAATGTGCAGGATATGCGTGATTTATGCCCGCCAAACAGACAGAAAACACAACAAATTACAACCATTTACAGAACGGAGCCAAGTGAGCCTAACTTATAACATCACATGAAGGAAAATCCTAAATGAGTAGTGCTTACTCAAATTTACTGCTACTGCTGCTGTTGTTAAATGAGGCAGCCACTCACTAAGTGCTGACTGGAAACCCAGAGGAAACTAGCGTTCTGGCTTCAGGTTACGATCAATGTACTGCCTCACAGCGTCTTGGTTTACATGAAAAATAAACCTCATGTCCTTTATCTGAAAGGGGGAAAAAGGTAGCTAAATTAGTACAGCATGAAGGTAATCAATGAAATGCATCAGTGATATCTCAGTCAAATAACAAGGGAATGGACTGTTTTTTTTTTCTTCCAAATATAGCAAACCAGCACAACTGTAGTTACCAAGGATAACAGGCTAACAGCTTTCAAATATTGATTATCTATAGTTGTATCGCGAGATGATATGAATATTACAGGATCACAGGTAAAGATACAAAAATTGTGCATCGATTAACCACCAAGTTACAGATTCATTCAAAAGTGAAGGTATCAATTACAAACAGTAGAATGGGGAAGTATCAGTACCTCGATTAATGAGTCAGAGCTTAAGTTGATGCGTTTGCAGCCTGGTATTTCCTTGCTATTAACAAAGATTGGACATTTTCCAATGTTCTTAATATGAAAAGAGCCAGATTCATCCATCTTGATAACCGCCTGATTGTCAGAATACGTGGGTTAAATATAATGATACAAAAAAATGCCCCACAACAGAAAATAAACAGACTTAGCAAAACAAGGAATTCTATATCGTCTTGTAGGGCAATGTGCATACTAAAGGGGAATCACCAACTGGGAGCCACAGTGCAAAACGGGAGAACTGCCACTTAATTGCTTTTAAAAATGGTTCAGAACGACATTACCAACAGTAGTATATTGCAAAAGTTATTAAGTGGCAATATGAGCATTGAATGATACACTTTCAGCGATTCTAATTTCCGAAACAAACTTGTGGTCTATTTACCCAGCTGGAAATATTTTGTTACATTAGCAACACAAGTACATGATGTTGAACAAAAAGGAACTTAGACGAATGAAACACAATTCATCGACTGCCACTTGGCCAGTCTTTCCAGACCCAAGTATTGCCTCCTGGATAAAGTTGACTGCTTTGCTAATTCAAGCAGACATCACAGCTTGCATGCTAAAATGTGACACACATAGTACCAATATCAATCAAAGCCATCAAGGTGCACAGGCCAACTGTGGCTGCCAATCTGATAAAAATCCACCAGAGGTACAGAAATAATATTTTTGCCTTACAAACCACAATTAGGACAATGCAATGGTGGAAATGATGTGCAAATGAAAAACAAGGGATAATAAATTTTAACCTCCTACAGCACATGTATGTTTCTTACCTTCTTACAAAAAAAATAGTCAAGCAATCAAGTCCCCTATTATTAGGCACTAGCCATTTCCTAAGGAAATGTAATTACGTAAGTGGCATTTCTTAACACACAGTGGACTATTCAAGGAATTACCTGTCGGCGAGATATCTTATTTGCCCTCCCTTCTTTTCCCAAATCAATGTCAACTTTGACATCTTCTGTCTCTCTTCCAAGAGTAACCTGCTTGAACAAAGAAAAAAATCAGAATATGGTAGCAACATATTACACAAATATTCACTGCATACTCCATACATGTACAGAAACAAGATGGTTGAATATTCCAGTTCCCAATTAGGATATGTCTCAGATCAGAACATGAAATCCCAAAATGGAAATAAAATGATGACCCTGGGTGCTATATTCAGAAATTGCCAGATACATCTCAAGTTCTAAAAACCAAAGTTGTTTATCTGTATCTCTAAGGGACTGGGTGTCAATAATCCACTGCAACTATCTGGCACAAGATATAGATATGAAAATTGTGCACTCTTAGTCTTAGTTGTCACCCCTCACTTACATCCTATAACTGATCTAGCTGAAAAGATAGCTGACCTCAGGATCCTTTATGTAGCATTTCAAGTGCAATCCATAAATAACTGCAAAAGCACCATGCGACATGATAGCTCTGTTTATATAAGACCGAGCACCTTGCTCCAATCTAATCAATGCCTTCCTGCTTTCCGGGTGATGAAATCTGGTAACTGAAGATTTCAAAAGAAAGAAAATAAGAATACACTCTGCTTCACTGATCAATGCCAGATCAATATTGTTAGCATTAAAATTTTCATTAAGAGGAAAATGATAACATATATGTAGCATGGTGAGTCCATCGTAACTACACCCACTCTTACACTATTATAAGAACAATCCACTATATGAATGTTTACTCCTTAAACCCTCAGCCAACCAATGCCCCATAGATGATGAATCTTTCCTTTAATGACTTGAGACTATACAGCACAATACTTCAGCTAACTCTGTGACACCAGTGTTGAAAAAACGTCGTTAAGACGTGCTTAGGCATGCTTAAGCACTAGGCGGAGACCTAGCGTGTCAGTGTCCCCTAGGCCATAGGTGTCCATTAAACGTGGCATGAACTGTCAGAACCCATGGATTGTGAAGAAAGGAAGAAAAGAGACGAGATTATATGATGGTAAAATGGTTTGTTGTATTGTGATTCCATCTATGCCTACCTCGTGGTGTCGAAATCGCTCACCCTCTGCTCGATTTATTGGGATTTTTTACTTTTTGCCATCCTTACGGATGGCACTCCTCCGTTTGCCAGTTTTATGCGCGCTCCTACATAATTGCCATCACAAACAGTGAAACTCATACGCTTTTGCCACTTTCGCTGATGTGGCAGGCCAGGTGGACATGCCAGCGTGACAGCGAGTCTGGGAGACCTAATTTGGCATGGGAAATAACCTATTTACCCATGGTGCTTCTCTCCCTCTACTATGTGACGTGTGGGTCCCATATGTCAGCTTCATCTTCAACCTCCGGCCATCACCACGCAGCGAAGGGAGGGGAGGAGCTCGTGCAGAGTCCCACGCAGCGAGGGGAGGGGAGGGGAGGAGCTCGTGCGGAGTCCCGGCTGCAGCCTAGCCTCCTATGCCTCCGCAGCCTGGCCTGGAGTGCGCCTGAGCCTGCGACTCAAGCGAGCTCAAGTCGGCGAAGGCGTTCAGACCCGGAGCGTGGCCTGCGACCCCAGCACAAGAGGCGACGCGGTGCGCCGTCTCCTTGAACGTGTCGAATCGGCGGAGCTTCTCCACGGGGTCGCGTTCTACATTGTAGCGCGCACCCCACCGCTGGTAAAGCCCCCACAGCGACGCCTCGGAGTTGAGGTCGTTGGTGGTGAACCTGACGCCGGCGGCGGCGGCCGGCTCCAGTAGAGCTAGCAGTGCCAACAACGCCACCACGCCTGCTAGCTTGGCAAGCTGCTGCTTCATCATGGTCGTCTCGGTGGAGCTAGTGATCGGCCTGCTAGCACTACTACTCTCTGGTTTATTTGGCGATAGATGCTCTGCGAGCTAGCTAGCTACGTACGTACATGTTCGTGTTGTGGAAGAAGCGATGGATTGAAGTGATAGATATGGGCCGAACGGTGCTGCGGTGCCTCCTTTTATAGACGGCAGCACCACCGGCGGCGCATGCGCATGTAGTCGAACCTCGAAGAAGATCTTGGTCTTGCTGCGGCAAGCTGTGGATCGGACGAGCTAGCTGTCTAGCTGCTTGTTTGCATTGGCGTCGTTTGGGTAGCCGATCTAATAGCCGGTGGTTGGGCTAGCTGCTTCGGTCAGTTCGGTGTACGTCGGCCGGGTCTGACACGGCCAACTCACTCCCAGGCCAGCTCGCGCACGCGCGTCAAGACGGTAGCCGCCGCTCATGCATGCCCGGCCGGCCTGCTGCGGGCTGCGCGAACCCGCAAGTTATTGGTTGTCGTTGTCTCAAGATAAGATGGGCGGCCGAGATTAACATGGATCGAATCGAAGCACCTCGAGCTGGCCGATCGGCGGCATGCAGTTTTCACGAGCTCCTCCCCTCCCCTCGCTGTGTGGTGATGACTGGAGGTTGAGGATGAAGCTGACATGTGGGGCCCACACGTCAGAGAGTAGAGGGAGAGCAACAGCATCGGTAAATAGGTCATTTCCCGTGCTAAGTGAGGGCTTCCAGGCTCGCTGCCACGCTGGCATGCCACATCAGTGAAAGTGGCAAAAGCGTGTGAGTTTCACCGTTTGTGATGGCAATTATGTAGGAGCGCGCATAAAACTGGCAAACGGAGAAGTGTCATCCGTAAGGATGGCAAAAAGTTAAAAATCCCCGATTTATTCCCTTTTGCTCGATTTCTCCAAAGGGCCATGTGTGCAGCCGAAGTAGGGGTGACATGAAAGGGGGAGAGGACAAGGTGTGCACTAGTGGAGTAGAGATGGGGCGCATGGAGGAGCCGCTAGGGTGAGTGCAGGAGAAGAGGTGGTGCGCCATGGAGAGGTGGAGAGACAGATGGAGGCGCACAGGTGGAGGAGAGGCCGCGCAGCTGCATGAGAATGAGGATTGTCTTGGTGGTGGTAGGGCATCATTGGGTGTTATGGTGTTTAGATGGGCTAGTGGGCTTCCTCCCCTAGTGGGCTCAGTGCATTGTTATGGCATTGCCCTTCCTTTTCTATTTATTTTGCCACATTTATGCAACTATAAATCTCTTGATATGTAGCTAGTGTGTAAACGCTTAATCGCGTTTAATCTACGTTTAGACGTCCTAGGCACTAAAAGGTGGCTTAGCGCCTGCCTAGCACCTAGCGCCTAGCGCCTTTTTGAACATTGTGTGACACTGATGCTAAACTTAAAAACAAAGAATGAGCTGCATCTATACATGGTATTTGATTAATTTGATATAATGATCAGCAAGCAAAATGTGTAATGCATAAACATTTACCTTCAGGATGCATCAAATCAGAGTCCTGATCCCACGGGATGAGATCCTGGTCAAGAATCTGCATTGAACATGATATGGGACAAGTCAGAAACATCATAGTAAAGAGATCCAGATAGCTGAGCTAAAAGATTTTTACCAAAGCTTCTAGATCATAGTAGTTTGGAACATCTTTTTCATAGTCAAGGCATTCTTCTGCTTGAGCTGGTGTTGCCTCATTTGCAATAGTGTTCTGAATACCCAAATCTGTCAGCGCATTTGATGGCATACAGTTCTGTAGAGCAGCCTTGTCACCTAATTCTGGTTGACCATCAAGTGAGTTGTGTTGCATCTGATCAGGAGCTTGAACTGAATTTTGCAAAGTCAAACCATGAGAGTTATCAAAGCTCTCGTGTGGTCCTAAACTACAAGGTGATCCTTCACCAAATCCAGCAGCACTGAAAGAGGGCAAAGCTAGCATGCATGTGTTTGCATCATTTGTGTCAATGTTACCAGTCAAAAGGGCTCCAGTTGTTGAAGCACCTTCTAACGGTTTAGCTCCTAGGACACTACCTTCGTCATGAGCCACTGAATCTTCTTTTTGTTCTGAAGTGGATGGGTTCATCTTAATTGTTTGTAACGAAGGTTGGACATTTGCCATATCTTCACTCTTTATTATTATGGCCAAGTCCTTTGTTTTGGGCTGTTCAGCATTTGATGGAGGGCTGGTTGCAGGGGAGGCTGAATAGATAGTATTCTCAGATTTCTGCCCAAAGGTAGAAGTACAGCATTCAAGAGGATACTCTGTTGGTGTAGAAACATCATCATTGCAAGGAATTTCAGGATCTTCTGTGTTCAATTTGCACTCCACATACAGGCCAGGACAGGGCACTAGTAAGGGAGTAGGAACTAAGATTATACCAGAAGCATCTACATTATTTTTTACATCGCCAAGATCTATTTGATCACAGGACATATTGGCTTCATCGGGATGCACCAGATTTTGCATGGTTGTTGTTGTTCTAACCCCATGAACAACTTTGAAGGCAGGATCGTCTAAATCCTCCTGGTTTCCCTCACTTGGAGAATTCAAAAAAATCTCACTATTCAGGATATCAAAGTCTTCACTATTACTGAAAAATGGGAAGTCCATAAAATCTCCAGCGTGATCTAAACCAGACATCCCACCATCTAAATTTGCTTCGAATGTGAGAGGGTCCCTGTTTTCTGACTTTACATTCTTATCATCAGCAAGAGTGAGCTTGTCTCTTCGCTGAACCCCACTCCAGATTGCACCACCTGGTGCTTCAGAACCCTCAGGTTGACCAATCACTTGGAGAGGCATAGGTTCCTGCACACTTCCACTGAAATGGTTAGGAATCACCAAAGCCTTTGAGTCTACCACTCCATTACCACATTGATTGTTGTCCAACTGCTGAAACTGCATAGAATCCTGAAAATCTGCGATACTCTTTAGAGAAACATTGTTCCCTTCACTATTCCCATGATTATTTGCTGCATAGGCATGATGTTCGTATAGTTGGCCTACATCTGAGTAGCCATACACAACATTATTGGTGCCACCCCCATCTCTTGACATGCTCTCAGTATGCTTCGTATGAAAAGATTGTCCATTCATTTCAGAATATGCATGTCCACCATTGTAGCTTGAACCCACTTGCCCATAGCGGCTCACTGAATTCAGCTCTGGTTCAATACTGTTAGGTAGGCCTCCACAGACACAGTCACTACCAGTTGCCATACATGAACAGGGGGCAACAAGAAATCCAAGGTCACCACTGTTACATGGATCATTGTGTACTCTCTTTCTCATCGCATAATATAGATTCTTTACACTGTCTATTTTCCGTTTCTGAAATGAAAAATCCTTTGCTTTTGAGTTGAAAAGTTTATGTGCCTTGGCTGGATCGGAAGTGAAAAGTTCATTCTCATACTCAGCCATCCGAGAAGCTGCTTGTGTTGAGATCTCTGGGTCATATAGCAATGAATTCCAGCGGTCCTGTATTTCTTGAAGAGTGAATTTACGGGAAAAACATACAGCTCCTTTGGCTAAGGACTCCAATGAGGCACCAGCCTGCAAGTATCACAAGGAGCAGTTAGGAGTTGGCACAAAAAAAGAAAATAATTAGTAGTGAAGTCATGTAGATCCAAGTTTGGAGCAGCCTTGTACTCTTTGTGGTTTCGTACTATGTTGGCTTCACAAAATCATAAGCCCACTTATTAGGACTACTGCTAGATCAATATGCTAACCTAGAGATTAAATAACAAGAGTTGCTCATAATATATTTTGAGGGAAAAATGCTTAGAATAAAATACAGGGATAACGGAAATAAGCTATAGTTCATAATAACATGATAGAGTATGTGAAATAGGGAAAGCAACCATTTTGATTAGATTAGGCTGCTGATTCACTCCTACATAGTGCAGGACATTACCTCAAAACTTAATAAAACTGAGAACACTGGCTGCTACCATCAGTTCAACAATTTTGCAAGTGGCACTCAGTATAGAGAAACAACTTCACAGCTAAAGTAATTCAATCGAATATTATTGGATTCGCCACAGTTTAGGGTAGCAAGCACCCCTCACGAGCCACACCATCCCTAGATTACTAAGAAAACAGACCTTTTTTCCATTTTTCAAGATTTTGATTCCTTAGCCTACCTAGAAAATTACCAGAATTGCAATTAATCTCAACTGAGAAATGCACAAAGAAATGTAGGACCCTCATGAGCCACACCATCTAATTGCTAGGTTTCCAAAAAAGCATACTTTTTTCCCATTTCAATATTTTGATTCCTTAGCCTACAGGAGAATTACCAGAATCGCAATTAATCTCAACTGAGAAATGCACAGAGAAATTTAGGACCTTCACGAGCCATGCCATCCGACTGCTAGGTTTCTAAGAAAACATACTTCTTTCCCATTTGAATATTTTGATTCCCTAGCCTACCAAGAGAATTACCAGAATCGCAAATCATCTCAACTGATAAATGCAAACAAATTCAGGACCCCAGGGCCAAATAATTGCAAAGCTGCTAAAACCACCAGGTGAATAACTCCATCATCAGAATATAGTTAAGCAATTTACCAAAGACGGAGGGATTTAAGTTCTTTTCTCTGCGTATATGAAGAGGATCAATTCTGACTACCCGGTATTCCGGTAAGCACAAATCCCTCGGAATCCGTCACGCTTCAGCGGCAATAGCCCAAGAACAACATTGGACCTATCAATTGACGCGTCGAGACGAACAGTAGGAACTCCAAGAAGTCCGGTTGGGGGTACAGGGGGGAAGGCGGGGGTTACCTCGACGGCGTTCTTGAGGAGGATGTCGTCCTCGACTAGCCAGTTCACCGACGAAGTCGAAGCAGACAGGGCGCCCATGCCGGCACTGCCACCGCCGCCTTCGCCGCTTCGAGGGAGGGGGAGTTGGGGGCGTGTGTGGTTTAGGGTTTTGGGAAAGGCGAAAAGGCAAGAGGACGAAGAGTTCCCCAGGCTGGCGGGGCTCCTCCGAGAAAGGGCACAGCCGGAAGCCCGGAACCCGGCGTTAGCTTCCGCGCGGGGGGCTTTGCGCAGGAAAACCGGAGAAGGTCGGAAAATCCTGTAGATTGGGTCTTCCGAAGGAGGATATACTCCCTTCTCCGTTTTGAAGAGAGAATGAAATTCAAACAATTTTAAATAAACTTAATTAAATATATAATAAAGGCATAACAATACTTATGGTGCATAATATTACTAAAATAATTATGAATATGTTATTGTAATAAATTTATTGAAGGTATAAATGTTAATATTATTTTTTTATATCTAATGAAAATCAAAATTGTTTGGCTCCACGTGAAGCGATATTTTCATACTTTTTTTTGAACGCAAGAGGTGTTAGGTTAATCTTGAAAGATGAATTCTTACTCTACTATTCACAAGTTTCATTTCTTATTAGAATATGTTACACCTATCGATGGGTTTCGTCCAATGAATCTTCGTGCGTGCGCCCTCCAAGTCTATCAATCTCCTCAGGCACACATGCCCTTTTTTCTTGGCTGATAAGCCATAGCTGAAAGTATCGTTGGCTGATTTGTTGAGGTTGGTTTCTGGACTGATAAGTCCGGTCGGTGCTGGTTTATTGTGAGAGAAAAACACTGTTGACTGACTGATAAGTCCTGACTAAAACCAATAAGCGAACAGGTTGGTTATGAGAGAAAAATAATATCCATTCACTAAAAAAATATGATTTATAAGCGAAGCGAACATGACGACGATGTTCGGAGTCCGCTTCGAGTTTATCCTTGATCCCAACAGGCACACGATCTTCCAAGTCTATCAACCTCCACCAGGCTACCGCTCAGTATCTCGCCCGCACTTCTCCGTGGCCGGCAGCCTCGACTCGGACTCCAGCCCGATCGTCGCCTACGGCCAAGGCGGACTCCTCGACGTCCTCAGCCCGCCACCTTCGTCCTCGCCAAGTTGCACGCCACCGTGCCATACGTGATCTCCATCGCGCCTTCCGAAAGGCCTCCACCGGATGATCGACAAGCAAGGCCAAGTCGCTCGCCGCCAGCTTCGGCGCGGTGTCACACCAGCGAGGAAGACCTGGTTGTTTACCTAAAATTCTGGTTACATTAAATGTTTGATATGCATAGAGTGTTAAATATAGATTAATTACGAAACTAATTGCATAATTTATGACTAATTTGCGAGACGAATCTTTTAAGCCTAATTAGTTCATGATTTGACAACGTTGTGCTACAGTGCTAATGATGGATTAATTAGGCTTAAAAATTCGTCTTACAAATTAGCCTCTATCTATATAATTAGTTTTATAATTAATCTATATTTAATGCTTCTTATTAGTATCTAAACATTTAATGTGACATAAATTTTAGGCTAATGAACCAAACACCCTGAAAATCCTGGCGACCTGGCTCTTATCCTGCAGATTCAAGTGCACCTCGCTGCAACCGGTGGAAACCCGAGCCCCAAAATCAGACTGGAGCTCACGTTCCGCAAAGACACTCGTTGTCCAGAGCACGGGATGGCCAGCCACCGATCACGGCCTTTGTGCAGACACTGCAGATTGACCACAGCCCACTACTGAAAGAGGTCAGAAAATCAGAATATTTTGCAGTGGTTCAGCAATAGAAAATATAATTTAGAATTATGCATGTGATCATAGATTATATTTGTTAGATTTGAGGTTTAACGTGATGTTTTATTGGGCCAGGGCAAATAGGATCAGAGGATGATACAAGTTTCTCATCGACCAGGAAAACGTTTGCCTTCAAAGATCTCTCCGCTGCAAATGATAATTTCAGATATATAGGTTGTGGCGGCCAAGCATAATCTATGAAGGCAACTCGATATTGATGGCAACACATATTACCTTGTGATAATATTTTTTCAACCCGTGCAACGCATGGGCATGACTCTAGTAGTATATATTTTTGTAAAAGTTGTAAGCCTTGTCACTAAACAGGCTATGTATCTAGATTTAGACATGATATTTAATACTAAGTTTATTTTTGGCCCCTCAACATTTGTCTTTGTCTAATTTTAATCTTCAACTATAAAACCGTCTAGCTTTGACATCTCAACTATCAAAACCACTTAAACACCTCAGGATCAAAATTGAATGATTTTGATAGTGAAAGTGCCAAAGTTAGACAAAGTCAGGAGTTAAAGGGCCCAAAAATAGGCTCGATCAAGTACTTTGGTTTTTAGATAATTATATTGTTGTATTTTTTAGATTTACTTATTGATAATATATTTATATGTATTAGAATATCTATCTACACCTTATTAGTTTTTTGTTCTGAATACAAATCCAAATTTATTTAAAATATAACCTATATGTTTGAAGTTCTTATGTTTTGAAACTCAATTTTTAAAAAAAAATTCACACAAACTTGGATGGAGAAATGACCATAATCAAAGTTGTAGATTTTGATGAGATCTACAAGTTCGCAGTTGATGACTTTTTCATTTCAAATCATTTATGGTCCCAAATTCTATTTGAACCTCTCGTGTTTTGAAATTTAAATTTTCCAAATTGTTCGAATGAACTTGGATGGACAAATAACACCCAAATCACAATTGTAGATATTGGTAAGATAGATATTTTTTAAAAAAATTGGGACCAAAGTTAAATTTATGATATTTTAATTTTCTTTTTATGATAAAATCCAACAATATGTAGATAAATATTTTAATAAATAATAATATTTACAAGTTGGGAAATTTTTTCCTACTCCCTAGGAGTAGTTACTCCCTCCTCCTACCACTGTACTCATGTCCATGCGGTACTACCTTTAGCGGGTCACAACCAATTAAACCTGATATAGCGTATCCAGTCATCCACCGAGTAAATAATTTTTAATCATTATCTGTCCCTCCGCTGGACTCGCTAGATGAGATAGGTACGATCGACTTCCATTCAAATTCATTCATATCCCACGATATCTGCTTCCTTCTCATCTAGTTCGTCGTCACTGTCGCACGGCAGGGAGCCAGGGCGCGCCACCGCCGGTAGCCCGCGTACGGCGCTGCATGGAGCGGAACCAGGGTGAGTGGGTGACCGTAGGCTATGTTGCATGCGTCTCTCTCCTCTCCGCTGAGCGACGCCGCGATCCAGATCGAGGCATGGCGGTGGCACCGCGGCAGCAAGATCCTGCCGGTAGTGGGGCACCATGGCGTTCTCCCAAGAGAAGAGTTGTGCCACCGCTTTCTCTTGATGAGCGCGGCAGAGCGCTGGCGCACTCCCCAACATGTGGACGGTGGCCCTTGGTCCCATGGCTGGAGACGACGATAGTCTATCCATCGATGCCGCAGCAGGAACTACTCTACGTGCCTTGTCAAGCCGGCAACGAGGAGAAGATTCAAGAGCACATGCAGCCATGCGCAAATCTGCATGAAGGAGAACCTGTAGAAAGCTGTTAGTTGTTTTTTATTCATGTTATTTTCAGAAAATAGTATATTTGTATACTTTTTTCATATAAGTGTATCGGTGGATACTTCTTTCACGTATTGGAGTATCACCTGATACTTTCTTTGATTAGAATAGTGTTTTTCATATTAAGTGTATCGTTGGATACTTCTTTCGTTGGTAAATACTCCATCTGAAGCTGTGAACTTTTACCCATCAGATCGAGCGCTAGACCAGAGCAATGGCGTCTGCAATTCCATGGTTTTTTTAGATGAGAGTATCATCTGATACTTTTTAGACCAGAAGAGTATCTTTGGATAATTTTTTCAGATTAGATCCAATATATGACTACATACTCCTTATAAACATGTACGTATTCATACTCCATAAAAGTATGTACGTATTCATACTCCATAAAAATAATTATGTAATCATACTCCTTATAAAAAATGTATGTACCCATACTCTCATTACACGTGTGCGCTCATACTCCTTTGGTAGGTATACGTATATACTCACTAGCTAGTAATGTACACATACTTCTCTTGTGAAGAAAAATATATGCATATACTCTAGTATAAATGCATACGTGCTTCTAATAATATAAATACATACTCTAGTTAATCTAGTGATACGTGGCTATATGCATGCATACTAATTAATTGAGTTTGTCTATTCCACAACTATGTGTTTTATGCAGTTTCAACACATGATTTTTTTTGCACCATAAGATTATGATTCAACAGCCTCCACTCTTCTTCTACCTCCAGCCTCTACATATGACAGATCATCACAGTTTTTTTTTCTATGGAAGGACAAATCATAAATCCGCCGCCGCCGCCGCCACTGCCATGGCCAGCGCGGGCGCGGGGAGGCGCGCCGGGGCGAGCTTGCCGTTGTTCCCGCAGAGCCAGCCCAGCTGCGCCACGTCCACCTACGGCGGTGCGGCCGTGGCCGGCGCGAAGAGATCCGCGTACAGCTGTGGGGGCACCGCTGGCGCACCGGGCAGCAGGATACCACCATTAGCACCAATGTGGCCCGCCATGGACGGTAGCGCATCCCCGCCCCACAGCGAGAGGCCACCGACATGCGGACCGAGCGGCAGGGCAGCAGGCTTGAGGTGCGGGGCCGGGGCCAGGGCCGGGGCTGGGGCCAGCGGCAGCATCATGTTGGGGCGCACGGTGGGCAAACCCGCCGGCGAGCCCGCGCATAGGTACGACGTGGCGGCGCTGGAGGCGGCGTTGAGCCTGGCCGTCTCCTCGGCCAGGGCGTCGCAGAAGGCGTGGTGCGTGATGAAGCTGTCTCTCATGTTGGTACGTACAAACGTGGTCACTGGTCAGTCGGCAAGCAGCCGCAACGCAACGCGACGATGCATGGATTATGGACAAAGCAAACAGGAAAAAAAAATCCATGTGTTTTTTTTGCTAAAACATATACGTGTTGTATAGCATTTCTGAATTAATTTAGTATGCCTGTATACTCACCGTTAGTTTCGATGTATCTACTAAATTTTAGTTGGTTGTTACGATAAAAAAAACTAACCACCGTGAGTCCGTGAGTCAAGGACACAGGATGGAGAAAAGCTAATTTATTAATAATTAATTAAATCACTTAACTAACTAGCGGATCCGTGTCTGTCCATAATGACCCACTAATATAAAGAGAGTAATTACTCCCGGGAGTATAAAAAATACACCCTTTACAAGTAAGTAAATCCATATATATAAATTTCTTCAAAAACATCTAAAAACCTAAAATATTTCACTTTTAATCCCTCAACTCTTGGTTGTGTCTAATTTTGGCACCTCAATCTATCAAAACCGTTCAATTTTGACATAGTCTCAGGGCCCAATATTGAGCAGTTTTGATAGTTGAAGCGTCAAAACTGGACGTTTTGTGATCGAGGGTTAAAACTAGACAAAGACAAATTCCTAATACTTATATAAGTATATAGTAAAATCTGTGTGAGCATATAGTAAAATATATGTATCTAGAAAAGATAGAACGTGATCCAAGTTATGGCCACAAAACAAAAACACTAAAAAAATGCCCACATAATCGACAAAAACAATATTAGTTATTATTAGTTACAAAAAGTACGAAAATCACCTCATTGCATGTTTATGTAGGAAGTATATTTATAAAGGCAAACAGTATAGTATGTGTTATATGTTTTAAATGTGAGAAATTCACAAAAAAAATCTACTAGTGAGAAATAAGGAATAAGAAGGGTCGTTTGGATCATTTTATTTGGAGGAATTGAAGTCTAGTTAATAAATTAGATTGCTTAGCTTAGAATTTGACATTTCATCGCTTTCAAAAGTTCACATATAAATCTATCTTAAATTCATAGAGTGGGAGAAAATTCGTTTTATAGAACATCATTCTATGTTTCTACTTTGTAACTTATAACACACTATTCGACTCTCTCTCATACGATAGAAATATAATATATAAGTATCTCTATCGTATAGCCAACAATAATATACAAATATAATCTATATACAACCATATTAGCTTAATTAATACGTGTATAAATTAGGATTATTAAAATAAAATTCAATTCCAAGATCCAAACAGATTTGTTTGGAATATGAGAAAATTTTCTGTTCCTACATTTTTTTATTCTAATTCTTATTTATTTAAATTCATGCACCGTAAAAATTCTTGCAAGAAGCCCTAAAAGTCGCTTCCTGCCAACACTTTGAGAAACTGGTACAAATCCCTAGACCTACTGTCAGTCAGCGCTGGCTACACTAACGCGTAAACTCATCTGGTACCGATCGAACCATCTCCTAACAACTTAAAAAAACAAAAGTAAGATAATTTTTTAGTAAGATTTTTTTTTGAGTCACTCCTCCCTACCGGCCATGTGATACTCCGTGCAATAGAAAAAGAAACTACTATCATTGCAATTCTCGCCTGCTTTGGAGGAAACAAATCGATGACCTGAGGCTACATGCATGGAAGAAAACAATAATCATGCATAAAAGGAAACAATTGGTAAAGATCAAGCAAGACGACTCAATGAGATTAACCCTTAATTTTAGTGTTTCTAGCATGCGACTCTGAAATTAAAAAGCGGCTGCTCCTTGAGAATATTAGTGGTGCCAAATAAAAGATGTGCAGATTATACATGGTGAGACTGGTGAACCTTCTACAATTTTCTAAACGAATATTCCCACCATTCATATATAGGTCTATTCCTCTGCGTTTCTTCGTGCTCCAATTAACATATAATATGAAAGTACTATTGTGTTCATCACGACTTCCAGTTGACTACTCCCATTAGCATATACTTCATCTGCCTCAAAATATAAGTCGTTATGGGATATGTGCAGGTCAAACTTTCTCTACTTTAACTAGGTTTGTAAAAATACGTGCAATATTTATATATCTAAATAAGTTTATTATAAAAATATATTCAATGGTCTTATAAATATTAATATTCTTTTATATATAATTGGTCGAAGTTAGAAAAAGTTGACTTCTCGAGAAGCGATAATGAATTCTATTTTGGGACAGAGAGTGTATATGAAAGCAGTGTTGAAAATATTTTAACAATCAAGTTCGTCTCTATCTGATTGGTAAGCTTAGACATCATAATGTCATCAAAAAAATCGACTCTCATGGACACTCTCATGTATCAGTGAAAAACATCACAATCCTACGGCATACACAAATGACCAACTTAAAGTTATGATATTTTTTCAAAGGGTGGACAATAAAGATTATCTTAGACGTTCTGGCATTAGAGTATATACGTGTAGACACATAGATATGGTGGTGCAAGTGAGCAGCCAGCAGGAGTCGAGAGTTAGGGGGTGTTTGGATCCCAAAACTAAACTTTAGTTCCTGTCACATTAATTTTTTAGATATTAATTAAGAGGACTAAATATGAGCTAATTATAAAACTAATTACATAAGTTATGGCTATTTCGTTTGCTAGCGCCGTGTATAGGATGGTATGGAGATGTGGTGGAATTTATTCGTAGATTTGTTGGCGTACGAAAGAAATGGAAATCGAAAATATCTTTTTGCCGGTATAAAAAATGATCTTAGCCGCATCACGTAAAGATATACACAGTAGAGTTTGTGAGCCTGCGACGCCACGCTCTCTGTGATTATGTAAATTTCACGAACTTAGCTTTTTGGATTAAATGTCACTTTAACGTCGGTTATATATTTTTACAGTATTGCTATCTTATTGTGCGATCCGTGTGTTTTTAGTACAAAAGTTTAGCTGTTCCGTAGCAACGCACGAGCACGAACCTATTTACATATATACTCGAACCTATGCGCACATGATTATATGGAGATGCAGTGGAATTTATTCATATATTTATTGACGCATGAAAGAAATGGATATCGTAGAATTATTTTTACCGATATAAAATATTATCTTAGCCGTATCACGAAAAATTCTATACAATAGAGTTTGTGAGCCTGCGACGTCGCGCTCTCCGTGATTGTGTTAATTTCACGAACTTTGTCTTTTGAATTAAATATCACTTTAACGTCGGTATTTAATTTAACAGTATTGTTATCTTATCGTGCGATCCGTGTGTTTTTAGTATAAAAGATTTAGTTGTCCCGTAACAACGCACGGGCACGTTACCTGGTAAAAACAAATGTGAAAAAATAAGGCTCGTTGAGTTTCTCTCAAAAATTTACACTATATCTCATTGAATATTTGATAAATATAGACTAAAAAAATAATTAATTACACATATTACAACTATTTGGTTAGACGAATCTTTTAAGACTGATTAGTTTATGGTTCGATAATAAAGTGCAATAGTAACCCATATGCTAATAATAAATTAATTATTCTTAATAAATTGAGATCGAGGTTTGCTAACACCAAAACATACTTTACGCCCTGAACTAAACAAGCCCTACATGAAAATACTCGCGACGAACAGAGCTGAACACAAACACCCGCATCGATCCAAAGCCGAGCCACACCTCGGGGACAGCCCACGAGAGCGAGATCCAACCCAAATCCCAACGCCGCGGGCGAGGCCGACCAGATCCACCTCCTCAGCCGTCTCGGATGGCGGCGGCATCGGCGGCGGTGCGGATGCTCCCCGACGGCGGCGCTGACGAGGAGGAGCGGTGGCTCGCCGAGGGCATCGCCGGCGTCCAGCAAAACGCCTTCTACATGCACCGCGCCCTCGTAATCCCCCTGCGGAACTCTACCCCCACCTCCCTACCGCTGCTTCCTTCCTCGGTCCGTGTTCCAATCGTGCAATTTGGGCGCAGGATTCCAACAACCTCAAGGACGGACTCAAGTACTCGGCGCAGATGCTCTCCGAACTGCGCACCTCGCGACTATCGCCGCACAAGTACTACGAGCTCTGTGAGTAACTGTGGATTTGAGCTGCTGGGTGTGTGGAATTCTGGAAGTGGGATCGGTTGGGCTTCTGATGGGATTCACTTGTCTGGCTGCAGACATGAGGGCGTTTGATGAGATGAAGAAACTGGAGATGTTCTTCAGGGAGGAGACTCGCCGGGGCAGCTGCTCCGTGGTTGATCTGTACGAGCTTGTGCAGCATGCTGGGAATGTCTTACCGAGACTGTGAGGCTCCTGCCCGCATTTTTGCATATTCTGAGTTCTCATTGCTTTGTAGGAGTATGCAAATACTAGTGAGGAAAATAAGCACATGTCTCTATTAAGAGTGTTGGGATAGTATGCTTAATAACTTGATAAAATGATACCCAACCAGTGAGCTGACTCTTCTGATCATGAGCGAACTAAACTTAATGCCCATCTTTCCAGTATCCACTCTTCAACTCGGCACATCATCATTATGTCAGCATATCACTAGTTATTTCTCTCTGCTGTATTTGTACCTATCACAAAAATGTGTTTTTTCGAAGGAGGGCACATGTTACAGTAACTTGTTACTGCCTGTTAATTAAAACATTATCCTACAGTGCTCACAAAATTGTATTAGGATTAACTTGTGCACCGTGCATGTGTAGATCAAGCTGATGTGGGCTTTTGTTGGCCACATAAATGATTATGTGTCTCTGGTCACAAATAACCTAGTTGATTGGATTATTGACATGGACTTAGGTTCAAACTAAAAGGACTGTAAAACATGGAAATTCTTCCACAATGGCATCCTATCCAATCTTTATTAGTATCCATGGCGAATACATTTCACTTCCGCTGTATGTCTCATCAAATCAAATCGATTGTATTTTGATCGATTGTAATCAAACTTCATTCTTTTGGCCTCACTGAGCCCTTATCTGTTGATGTTACCCCTGCAATTGATTATTCCCCCTGGCCACGAATACTTGAAGTCAAACTTGTGACACTTTAACTACCCATTAACTTTAAAATATTTAGCCTTGAAATATTAAAAATAAGATATGTAGGTTTACCTTGAAAAGTATTTTCATAATTTAAAAAATGGATTGTATTTGTTATAAATATATTAATAGAGAAAACAGAGTTCAAAGGTACATGTTAGAGACTGTGTCAATGTCTATTGTCCAAAGGTGAAGTATATATTTTTGACCGGAGGGAGCATATATTTCTTAAAAGAAAAGTTGAAGTGCTGTTGTTAGATTCATGGTAGAGTTCTGCATAAACTGCGACCGCAGTGCATTATGGTGGTTTACCTGTTCGCTATTTTACTGTAGTCAATTTGTATAAAAATCACTATAAATATCAGACCTACTTCTACTCATGTTTGATAGTGTACTATTGTTGTGTTTTCTTTTTTTTTCCATGATACTTCCATTATGCTCTTGAACATCTATAATATGAAGTGCTAATCTTTTTCTAGGAGAATACCTATGATTTATGAAAACATACATCTGATTTGGTGTTTACATGCCAGCTATCTCCTGTGCACGGTGGGATCTGTGTACATCAAATCAAAAGAGGCTCCTGCTAAAGATGTTCTTAAAGATCTCGTTGAAATGTGCCGAGGCATTCAACATCCTCTTCGTGGTCTTTTCCTGAGAAGTTACCTTTCTCAAATAAGCAGAGACAAATTGCCTGATATTGGTTCTGAGTACGAAGGGTACTGTACCTTTACTTCATGCCATGCTATTTCTTAATGAAACTATTTTGTTTAGAGTTTCAATAGTATCATGCTAATCTTAGGACAAGAGTTTGCTTATTCTTTATTGCCAAGTGTGTATTATGTTTTCCTTTTCTTTTCTTTTGTAATGAATGCATTATGGAAGTTAATAAACATAATTTGGTAGTGTTGACTGACAGCGAAAAATTAAAACCTATAGATTTAACATGAAACATGGTAGTCCCAAGCTAGTTAGGGTGAAGCTGCTTTATCTGGTTGCAAATATTACATGTGTAGCATTAATTTTTCCGTATTGCCTTGACTTTACAAGATGGGCACTAATGTCAGTTAGTCCGGTAGTCCCCACTTCATATTTTCACTACTCATAGGTCATACAATCTTGTACTCCATCCATTCCAAATTATAAGTCGTTCTGGCTTTTCTAGGCTCATAACTTTATCTATGCACCTAGATATATACTATATCTAGATAAATAATAAAAACTATGTATCTAGAAAAACTGGAGCAACTTATGATTTGGAATGGAGGAAGTACTTATTTTTGGTGCTGCAACTTCCTATGCATTAATTGCCATCGCTTTGTTGGCAACCCTTGTCACTAATCAGTTAAGAGTTTTGTAAACCGTATTAAATACATTTTTATATTCCCATCCTAACTCTCCAGTGGGCACGTGCAGTTCCCTGCTGACCTGCTTGACCAAAGATCAGCAGAAATGGGGAAAACTGTAGTTAGTTATATTTAGTTGGGACATGAAGAATATAACAAACCCCTTCAAGTGTGTGTATATCCCATCATCTTTTGCAATTTTAATCATGCAGGGATGCGGAAAGTATTAACGACGCAGTTGAATTTGTTCTCCAGAATTTCATAGAAATGAACAAACTCTGGGTCCGGATGCAGCATCAGGTATGTTGCAGGCTTGTAACCTAAGGCAGAAGCTGCCTTTGCTCCTTAAATCATTACCATGCATTTTACCATAGCACATGAATGACAGAAGTGATTAACTCCATTCTCTGGTTATACCATCCTATTTGAAACTGGAAAAAAAAATCACGTGTTTGGTCTATAGGGTTCTGTCCGAGAAAAGGAAAAGCGTGGGAAGGAAAGAAATGAACTGCGTGATCTGGTAATTCAGTGACATCTAGATATTCTACTCAACTTTATTTTCTAAGTCATGCCATTGGCATTATTTTTTTTATCTTCTTCTAGGTAGGCAAAAACCTTCATGTTCTAAGCCAGATTGAGGGCATCGACCTTGATATGTACAAAGAAACTGTTCTTCCAAGGATTTTAGAGCAGGTTTGCTGTCTGAAGTATTGATGTTAAATGATTATGATATCTTGATTTTATTGGAACTTAAGTATTAATGTATTGGCAGGTCGTTAATTGTAAGGATGACCTTGCACAGTTCTACCTGATGGACTGCATAATCCAAGTCTTTCCAGACGAATACCATTTGCAAACATTGGAAACATTATTGAGCGCATTTCCCCAGCTTCAGGTTGGCAACTTTACCTTTTAAATTCCTCATTGTAATGCATCATGCTGGTAGCACCAAGGACTTGGCTTGCCTGCTACCTTTGTGATTAATTAATTTTCTTTGCTTTGCCTGGCCTTTTGTTATCTGCAAAATCAATGGTGATTTCGTAAATTTTATGACTTAGATAGAGTCACGTATGGTTGCAGCCAGGGGGCCATCTAAAATAAACCCACATGCACTTGAATCATGTACTAATGTTAATTGTACAGTACATACATACCAATTTACTGATCCATGATGTCTCAGCATTGGGGGGGGGTGTAAAATTAGTGAGTGTGAGAGTAAAGTAAGGTACGACTGTCAGTAGATCTGACATAGATATATGTTGCATGGAATCTGCTACCTTGTATTGTAGAATAAATAGATTCAACCAAGATCAAACTCTGAATAGTGAATACTGTGAATTTGGATTTATTTGGGGAGTTTACATGCAATTTCTACTTATTTCACCAAGAACTGAAGTCATTTCTAAATTTATTTTTGCAGCCAAGTGTTGATATCAAAACAGTACTCTCGCAACTTATGGATAGATTGTCTAACTATGCTGCCTCAAGTCCTGAAGTAAGCATTCCTTATATAGACTATCATTCAAATTTTGTATATGCTTGACATAAATGAATTATGCAGGTGTTGCCAGAGTTCTTGCAAGTTGAAGCTTTTGCTAAGTTCAGTAATGCTATTGGAAAGGTAAAACTCTAGCTGTTAGTGTTTGGACATGTAATTGTAATGTGCATTTGATTTGATACAAGGCTAAATGGCTAAATGTTCACAACTAAGAACTAACATACATAGTACGCAATTGAATTGCACCGTGTTTGGTTATTCCATAGCTATTTTGGGCTGTGGCTCTTGGGAAACCTAAACAGATACTCTCTTTTTTTTTGGCAGGTGATAGAAGCCCAACCTGACATGCCAGTTGTTGGAACCGTAACTCTATATGTATCACTTCTGACTTTTACTCTCCGTGTACATCCTGATCGGCTTGATTATGTTGACCAAGTGCTGGTAAGTCTTCTTTAAACAATTATATGATTTATGCCCCTTCTCGTATGGTCTGTTTGCTGACCTCAAGAAGTCATTTTTTGTTGTACTATAATTGATAGCAAGGCAATGATGTAATCCATTAGTGGTCTAATGTCAATTGAATCTTCTAACTCGTTATATTTGTTTGGACAGGGTGCATGTGTCAAGAAACTTTCAGGCAAAGCAAAACTTGAAGATAGCAGGGCAACAAAGCAAATTGTTGCACTTCTTAGTGCTCCCCTGGAAAAATATAGCAATATTGTTACTGCATTAGAACTTTCAAACTATCCTCGGGTTATGGATTATCTTGATAATGCTACAACCAAAGTGATGGCTGTGGTAATAATTCAAAGCATAATGAAAAACACAACCTGCATATCTACTTCTGACAAGGTAATATTTCATGCTATGATGTTATTACTCTGCATATTACTAAGCAACTAATCGTATGACTGTGTGTTCTTGTTTCTTGCAGATTGAGGCACTATTCGATTTAATTAAGGGGCTGATAAAGGATATGGATGGTGCTCAAGATGATGAGGTAAGATCATACAGTTTGTTAGAAAAGTGAATTTTTACTTGTTTGTTGTCTCTGTCCTGCTGCTTACAACAACAACAACAACAACAAAGCCTTTAAGTCCCAAACAAGTTAGGGTAGGCTAGAGTTGAAACCCAGCAGAATCAATCAAGGTTCAGGCACGTGAATAGCTGTTTTCCAAGCACTCCTGCTGCTTAGTGCTCCAAATTTTGTTCAGCTAGATCAGCACAACACATCTCAATTTCATTTTCTCATGAAGTTTGCTCAACCTGTAACTATGCTTTTTTATTATTTTAGCTTGATGAAGAAGACTTTAAGGAGGAACAGAACTCTGTAGCGTGTCTTATTCACATGTTGCACAATGATGATCCTGAAGAGATGCTGAAGGTAATTTGTTGTTATACTGATGTTGATGAAAAGTATCAATAACACTCTCAGTTTTGATTGATTCCATGTTGTGGTTACATACTCATTGTTATGCATCTGTGTTGCACAGACCGTTTTTTTTCTTGTATCAAGATGCATAAACTGAAGTGTTCCTGTTATTTTGTCATATCACTTGACCATGGTGCTCATTCTCCCAAAATAGGAAAATTGAAATAAGTTGATGCTAATTGCTTCATGAATCTATGTTGCTAAGCTGCACTTATTTGTATCCGCATGCATGGGTGCAATAGGTTTGAATTTCTAATTGCAATATGCTTTTGGTCTTTCAGATCTTATGTACTGTACAGAAGCATATACTTCAGGGAGGCCCCAAGCGTTTAACTTTCACTGTGCCTTCGTTAGTATTCTCTGCCCTTAAGGTTTGTTCTACAACTCATTGAAAATATTATGATGTAAGGATTTTTTAGTTTCAAAATATTCTATGGTTAATGTTCACGCTCCTCTAAAACTTGAGATTTGTATTATTACTGTTGCTTTTTATGAAGTAATATTGACTTCTTTTCAGATTTAAATATGGCTCCTTTTCCAGTTCAACTTGTTTTATTGACTTTTCAATAGATTATTATACGAGCGAATATCTAGTTGTGTATACTTTGTTTGAATATTGATCTGTGTAATTAGGAAAGTGATATATCTCATATATGCTTTGCTGATTATTATCGTCTGAAGGATCTAATATGCAGATAACTCGTATTGTTTGCAGCTGGTCAGGCGATTACAAGGCCAAGATGGAGATGTCACTGGGGAGGATGTTCCTGCAACTCCAAAGAAAATATTCCAGATATTGCATCAGGTTTTGTCATAGATTTATTTTGCATGCATCTAACTTCGGTTACAATCTCATAACAGATGCATACACTGTAAATATGTTTTTCAGCTTATATTTTTTTTAACCTTTTGTCCCTGTGTATAATAGGAAGAATCTGGGAATAACACATATTTCTAGGCGTTAATTATCTCAAAAATTTCTGGCAAACTATGGTTAATAACAGTGCACCCAATGTTACATGCATAATTGCAAAAACATTTCATAACATCATTGTTTTCATTTTTCTTGTCCAGACTATTGAAGCACTTTTTTGTGTTCCTTCCCCAGAGTTAGCTCTGAGACTATATTTGCAGTGTGCAGAGGTATGGTTGTAATACTGTGTATCTTCATAATTCTTCCTATTCTTGTTCTCTGATTATGTTTCCATTTAGGCTGCCAATGACTGTGATTTGGAACCAGTTGCTTATGAGTTCTTTACTCAAGCGTTCATTTTATATGAAGAAGAAATCGCGGTATGAACCCTCCCATCTCCTTCCCTGTATGTCAGAGTGCATGTGACCCATGCACTTCCAGTACCTAATTGAGCTGTTTGATGCAACCTGGACTGCATCATAATGTATGCTATATGCCTATATGCCTTTGTAAGTACATTTTATTGCATTTACATTTGGTCTATTTTCGATTTATAATGTTTCTGTTCCACAAGCAGGATTCGAAGGCTCAGATCACTGCAATTCACCTGATAATTGGGACCCTTCAGCGGATGAATATATTTGGGGTGGAAAATAGAGACACCCTCACTCACAAGACAACAGGGGTAATGATTCTTGTTTTATGGCTAGTTTGGATCAATCATGAGGATTGGAGGGGATTGAGGGGGAAATTAGTTCATTCCCCCTCAATCCCCTCCAAGCCCCATGGGGAATGGGTGTATCCAAAGTAGCCCTTAATGTAGCCTCTCGAAACCTGTTATTGCATGGAATCAGTTTTCTTTGGACCAAGTGCTAGCCTCTCTTGTAAATTACATTGCTACTGCTCTGTGCAGTACTCAGCAAAACTTCTCAAGAAGCCTGATCAATGCCGAGCAGTCTATGCGTGTTCACATCTTTTCTGGACTGATGACCAAGATGGGATAATGGATGGTGAAAGGTAAGACGATTGATCTACTCACTGTAAACATACTACTTAATTAGATCTCAGGATCATATTGTCCATCTTTCGGTTTTTAGTCTTGCAAGTAAATTATTTGCACATTACTTTCTAATGGTACCGAGATAAGTGCCTATCATTAATGCCATGAGTTCATGTCTTAAAAAAAATCACATGATGTCATGAGCTCAAGCCTTAAGGAAATCCAAGTTAGTGGTAGCTAAAGGTTATAGCCAACTGCTATTGAATTTTGTCCGACTTATTAAGAGGCTACTGATTTCCTAATTGAAACTTTGTTTCAGGGTTCTCCTTTGTTTGAAGCGTGCCTTGAGAATCGCAAATGCTGCTCAACAGATGGCTAGTGCTACAAGGGGAAACAGTGGATCCGTAACCCTATTTATTGAAATTTTGAACAAGTAAAGTCGAGAACTAGATTTGATATTTTCTGGTGGATAATTGATTTCTGTGTGTAAACCTCGTGCTTTCACCATTTTCAGGTACTTGTACTTCTTTGAGAAAGGAATTCCACAGATCACAAATACTGTGATTCAAGATTTGATTGAATTGATTAGAACGGAGAAGCAAAGTGATAACTCTGTAGCTGATCCATCTACAGAGGCATTCTTTTCTAGCACTTTGCGGTACATTGAATTTCAGAAGCAGAAAGGTGGAAGCATAGGCGAAAAATATGAACAAATAAAGACAAGTTCATGAGTGCTGACAAGCACGGCACAATGACTGGTTTTGATTTTGTTAAGAGAACTGGGTCGTTTGTTTGGCATGGTTCAGTGAAATAGAAACCATCAGTTTTAGCTGCCTCCAACTAAATGATGTTTATATGAGCTGTTATTCTCAAATCTCACGGTCTGAACGGGCCTGCTCGTCCATTGGCAGCCCTCTCAGGTTTAGTCAGGTGGCAATAAGCTGTGTCCTTTGGGGAGCACAGGTCTGTACAGGATTACTTGTGTTCGTGATCAGTTCTACTGCTACCTGAGTTTCATTGTTGTATATTTCCGCCCCATATGCTAAGCTTATGGATTTTAGATTTCTGTAACATTTGGAGTACATGCCTTCATTTCTGAGTTCTAACTGGACATTGATGATTGTTTCATAGTGGTCAGTGAAGCACTTGAACATTTTGTTTACCCATTACTCGGCTGTGTGGCCATTTCACAAGCACAAGCACGTGTCTCCATCTAGTCATTTCACCTTTTGTAGTACTGTTTGAATCCTGCCTGAATCAGTGATATTGAGTAACGATACACTTACCTAGAGTAAAGCCCTGCCGTTTCTAATCTTGTTTACTATAGAACCGCAAAAATGGTTTGGGCGAAAAACAGTAAAAATGATTTTGAAAAAAAAACTGATTAAGTATTAGGATGAACCCAGTTAGTGGATTGACGCTGCACAAGTAGCCAGTATCTTCGAACAGGTACCACAAAAGGAAAAACACCCCAGGCGTTAAAATAATTATAACAAATAGTGCTTGTAGATTTAGAAGCACCCAAAAGAACAGCTGCAATTTTGTTTCAAAGAAATCTGAGGGATCTCAAATGTTGTCAGAATCAAGGTCTAATTAAACGGCTGAAGCATTACTACAATGTTGACAAGTGACCATGCTACCTATCAATGTACCAACTAAAGACTACAATTGTATAAGCTACAGAATGCGAAATTGCAAGATGAGCCCCTTCCATGCATTTGTTTCGACAGATACAGCTTGTCATCAGATCAAAAAAATGCCAGTTTGACTCCACTGTCCTTGTTGTATGTATGGTAACCCTGGACTAATCTCCACTTTTTTCTGTAATAAAGCATTCTTGTGAGACTACAAGATGCTCCTGAGCTCAATCATGATGAGGCGTACTGCATGCTTGAACAAATAGTCCTTGACTTCCCTTGCAGTATTTCCCCCAATGTCTTCTTCTTTTGGCAATAATCTCCAGAAGATGGCAGATGCAAAAAAGGGGTTTCCACCAATAAAGCAAAAATGTATATAACTTTATCCAAACTCAATCCCTAACTGCCGAACTTCTTGAATAGGATTTAGAGAAAAACTGTTCTCATCTTTCATCTCAATGATGAGGGTATCAGAGTTGATGATCACTCTACATGGTCCAAGATACCCTCCATTAACAAGGTCACAGTTTTCATAGAGACCTTCGGCTGGTGGCATGTTCAACATGCAAGAATTAGGGAGTACAATGTTTTTCTTTTCATGAAGGCAGTGTTGGTTAACCATTAGCACAAGACGGTGTTTCCTCCCTAGTAATTCAGAGACGTATTCCATGTCACCCATAGCCAACGCATGGCGGACACAGCTGGAAGAAACCTGTCCTTTATCACTCGAATTTATAGCGGCTGAAACTCCATTATGAGATCTTTTTGCCGTGTCCATGACAGAACGTACAATCAATGCACTTAAACCAAATTCCTCACATAGTTTCACTAACTCAGCTGCATCACCAGATGCTTTGTAACCAAACCTGTAATTTTCACCTGTCATCGTACAAGAACAAATAAATTATTGAAGGGGCCAAATGGTGAAGCACAATGCTGAACCTGCAGTAGAAAATAACATCTGTACCTGCTACGACACCTTTTATTCTAAGATCCTTTGATAACCTTTCAACAAATTGTCGTGGAGACAGGGACCTGACCTTTGAAAACTCAACTTGATATTCAGGAGGTACCACATTCCTACAGTATGGAGCCCAAGACGAAAGGACCCGCTTGCGATCACATTGAGCAACTATAGGAGGCCTGTACAGAAGGAAATAGTCATGCAAAGCCCTCCCTGATTTGGGCTTAATGGTTGCCAAAACTAAGTCTCTACTAGGAAACTGTGAAAGTTTTCATTTAGGCCCACCTATATGTCCAGCCAAGTACTTCGGCCATTCCCGCAAAAGAAAGAAGAAAAGGAGTCCCTGCTTTAGAAGCATGCATTGCCAATTCCCGATGACCAATGTGGAGGGCATCAAACTTTCCCAGGGCAACTATGCCACCTAAAACATGTATGGAATACGAGAGGAACTTGCACATAAGAACACGGAGGCATTTAATAATAACAATAGAAGTGTGCAATAAAGCTCATAACTACAAGAATATGTGATCTAGCTAGATAACAACATTGAGAGGATAAAGAGACAACATAAGTTTAACAGCTAGAAGCAACAAGTGTTACAGAGGAAAACAGTAAACAAACACCACAACTTTCACTATAGAAACCTGAAACTTTGACCAAGTGGTTGCCTTATCCTTCAGTTTTTCTACCATATTTAATTTGTAATATATGTGCTGTATCTGACGCCATTCTTATGTGTGATATATATAGGGAAATTATTTCCTACTCCCAGGGAGTAGTTACTCCCATGTGCATATCTCTAGTTTTAGGGCGTATATGGCCCGACGAAGTGTGTGTAGACGAAGTATATGATCATACTAAACCATCTAGGGTAGTATGTATGTCAAGTATGCAAGTATACATAGAGTATATGATTATACTTATTTTATATAGTACTGCAGTGGTATTATAGTAATATATTTAAAAGTATGGGCTCTTTTGGGAAATTTTCGCGAACTAAGATTTGAAGTATCTTAAATTGAGTATATAAATATACTCAAACTGATAAATTAGTATGCAAACATACGTAATGTGGTTTATTGAAGATGGGAGTAACTACTCCCGAGAGTAGCAAAAATGCACCCTATATATGCTATTATGCTATACCAGTATAGTTTCTGCTTGCATTCCCAATATGGACCAACATCTGCACATAGAGGAGAAAATTGCACTGCAACAAAAAACGACGAGTTTCAATACTTACTTTATGACCAAGGGGTGTAAAATTGCCCAATTGATACTTTTGCACGACATATGGCCTAAAAATGCACTATTCATCAAGCAGGTGGTTGAATCTAACACTTACAGGCACTAATATTCAAGTATGACACAGTATCACTTGGTAATGCGGAGACCATGACTAAGCAATAAATTCCTCAGTTGTTGTTGACTGGTTCATTCAGGTCTTCTTGAGAATGTTCTGCATATCTTAAAATAACATGTTTTACTTACTTTTAGGGTTAAATTCATAAGGTTTGTTCTACTTTTTTTTAATAAGTTTGTTCTGCTTTTATGTGCTGAGACTGTAGAACTGGTAATCTGTAAGCTCTATATTCTACCATGGGAGTGAGGGATATATCATAGGCGCGCAGATGGTTACACGATGAGTTTGAGTTTTTAAAGGCATGAAATCTTGAAGTATATAAAACTCTAAATGGCCTTTATATAAAAAGTAGGAGGGCTGCGACTTCAATACCAGCCTCATATAAATCTAAGTATGTGTTTAATTTGTATAGAAAATCATAGAGTATATTTTACTAACTTTAATTATGAATGGACAGTTACATTTTCAGTTTGACCTGCAATAAGCCAATAATCACCTTCTAGAGGTGCATGATATCAATTGTGTTCGTAAATCAAAGTAGCATTTTGTAACTTGGACAGTATAATAAGTTGTTCTATACAGTATTAATAAATTATCCATATAGAACTTACCGAGCACACAATCTTGATCCTCTCCACAATCTATTAGGAGCTTATCGTTGATGAGATCTACATTGTTTAGTCTAACCCCCGAGTGTCCAGATGAGCTGAAGGTCTTCAGTGAGTTCCTACTCTGTCCCTTCTTCATGTCTAGAGGCCTGCTTTGATTGAAGTAGTGTATTATCAAAATCTGAAAGAGAATAAAGATTTAAGACTAAAACAGTTAGCCATAATAACCAAACTGAGAACATGTACTAAAGGGCGTACCCAGTGCAGAGAGCTCCCGCTCTGTGCGGAGTCTGGGGAAGGGTGTTAGTGGCAAGCCTTACCCTCGCATGTGCAATGCGAGGAGACCGCGACTCGAACCCGGGACCTTCCGGTCACAGGCGGTAAGAAAGTGTACTAATGTACACAAAAAATACTCATTTTGGTAAGAAAGTAGGAATCATAGTGTTAAGAGAGGATAACTTTTCAGTCTTAAACAATTGGTAGGTTCTTTCCATACTCCAATTTGGACCAAGGATCTTATATAAAGTTCAAATAAATAAATTTTAAGTGATTGCTAACCTTTAGGGCTGCCTAAGTTGCATTGGTAACAATTAGGGAACAGTAAAACCATACATGGTGGCTCTACCATTTTTTTAAAAAAACCACTTTGCCCATGGCTGTACCTTATTTTTCAAACCCCTTTGCCCACACGGCCACACCTCCCTTTTGGTTGACCTGACATGGAAAACAGCCTAGCTTGGCCGCTCCTACATCCTCCATTCCAAATTGTAAGGTGTTTTACCTTTGTTTTAAGTCAAACTTTTTTAGCAATCTAACTTTGACCAAGTTTATAGAAAAATGCGCAAAAATCCACAACATCAAACAAGATACATTAGTTGAACCATGGAAAACATTTTAATCGTGCATCTATTTGATAATGTGGATGTTAATATATTTATCTATAACCTTGGCAAAGTTAAACAAGCTTGACTTAGGACAAAACAAAACGACTTGTGATTTGAAACAGCGGGAGTACACGATAGAGCCTTTCGGGGCAGCAACATAACACATTGCTTTCCCAAATTGTAATGCTTACTACATCTTTAGATCCAACTTCCCATGTACACGAGACAAGCTAACTTCAGATCCTTTACATGAAATCCAAAATTATAGTTTGCTAACGCTAGAAAGTCAAAGCACAGAAATTCCCGTGCCTTTTAAAAAGTTTATTATTATGGCTCATAAAGTAACAAGCCATAGAGGACTAAACTCCTCAATCAAATTTCACCAGCATTCTGATCCTCAGGCTCGGATGTTCCAAGCTTGTCGTCCTATTCCAGTATAGACAGAAATGCTCGATGGAACAGCTGTTTCGTCGAACAACTAGCGAGTAGCAACCGCACGGTGACACCAACCGAGAGGAAACGCGGAGCAGAGCTCCCCTACAACAAGGACAGGAGACAGCTCATCACCTGAAACGCCGCGCGGGCGGCAGGAGGGAGCGGGGAGGCAAGGGCGGGACGCGGCGGGGGCAGCGGAGGAGCGGCGGCCACCGGGGAGCCGGGGACGCGGAGGGAGAAGGGGAGCGGAGGGCGCAGCCGAGCGCCGCGGCGGCGGTGGCGGCGCCCCTCTCCATACCACTCCCACCACGCGCCGACGCGGGCCCTTCCGTTCCTTTTGGCGGTGTATCTATTCCCGAGCGTGATCGCTCAGCGCGGAGTCGACGGGTTCCGGCCGTCCCACGTGACCACACAGGCAAGTACGAATCCTTTCTTCCTTTTTTTTTTTGTTTTGTTTGCTTTATTTTTCTTTTTCTTTTTTCTTTTTTCTTTTCAGTGATCTTTTATTATATTTTTATTTTATTTCTCTTTTATTTATTTATTTTATCTTTTACTCACGTAATTATTTCCTTTATTTATTTTTTAGTTTCTTTTTTATTCTTTCTTCTATTCCATCTTCACTTATTTTTTATTGTATGGTTTCCTTTTATTTTTCCTTTCCTTTCGTTCAATTATAATACATTTATTTTTTCTTTTTCATGGACTTTTGTCATTCCTTTTTATTTTCTTTATTCTTTTACTATTTTTACTCTATTAATTTTTATTTCCTTTTTTATTTTTGTTTTCTTTTTTGTTTCCTTTCCTTACTTCTATTTAGTTTTTTTATTTTTATTTCTTTTTTATTTTCTTATCTTTTTATTTTTTAACATTTATGCATTTTTAATTTCTTTTTTTATAGAATTAATAATTATGTTTATTTTATTTTCTATTTTTGTATTTTATTCTTTTTTATTTTCCTATCTTTTCTTCTATTTTATAATTTTATGTTTGACTTCTTTTATTTACAGATACACGTGTTATTCGCGTAGTATATATATATGTAATGTTTTATGTTTTTTTGTTCATGATTAGAAATATGATGTTCTACGATGTATTTTAGATGTTAAGTACGCATGCATTAATGTTATAGGATATACAGCCTGTTCGTTTGGCTATGGCTTGTCATAAACGATCGTAAATTTTCAGCCGAAACAATATTTTCTCTCACACAAATCAGCCAGCGGTACTTCTTCACGAACCAGCAACGATACGAATCAGCCAACCGAACAGGCTTATATTTTGTGATGTTCGGTAGCATTTCTTCTTTTTATTTGACTCTAATTAATTACTTCACTAATTTTATTATTTTATTTTACATTTTATGATATTTTATGATGTTTACGTAGTATACATATTATGTTCTATACTATATTTTTGTGATGTTCGTGTAGTGTTAATGTGATGTTCTACGATGTATTTAGTGATGTTTGTGTAGCGTTAATGTGATGTTCTAGATGTATTTTTATGATGCTCAGTACGCATACATTCATGTTCTAGGATATATTTTGTGATATTCGGTAGTTTTTTTCTTCTTTTTATTTGGTTAAAATTAATTACTTCACTGATTTTATTTTTTTATTTTATATTTTCATGATATCTGTGATATTCACGTAGTAACATATGATGTTCTATGCTATGTTTAGTGATATTCGTGTAGTTTTAATGTGATGTTCTACGATGTATTTGTGATGTTCGGTAGCATTTTTTTTCTTTTTATTTGACTATAATTAATTACTTCACTATTTTTTTAATTTTTTAATTTTTTATATTTCATGATATATATATATATATGATGTTCGCGTAGTATACATAGGATGTTCTATGTTATTTTCTGTGATGTTCGTGTAGTATTGATATGATGTTCGACAATTATCTTTAAATACAGGTTCATTATGAGATAAATGGTCGTTAAATTTTTTTATCGAAATATATCCATGTGGGATCTTATTTCGAAGAGTTTATTGCAACGAACACGATGGTGCAACTGGATTTTAATTATGATACTTGGTTCAGGAGATGTGACTTCTTTTACCTAAAAAAGTATGTGACATGTGCTGATGTTAGCAATTTCGGCTTTTAGTGCATATCTGTTGTATGGTCTGTTGTTTGGTCCAAAATACAATTGAATTGGCCCAACTTGGTGCATAGGTGGAAGAAAACAATTATTTTTATTGAAGGGGGAGGAGGGTCGGCGGGAGTCCCCCTGCCACCCAGGTCGGCAGCTAGGGGCTCCCAGCTTGGCGGGCCACGTCGTCTTCTTCGACGCGTGTTGGTTACTGTGCCTGTGGTCGATGGCTAGTGGCGGCAGCTTGTCTGGCTGTCCGGCCGGGCTACGGGATTTGGAAGGGAATTTTAACATTTTACCATTATATCGAATGACAACTACTGGGATAGTAGGGTTAGGTTTGACGCTACGCTTTTAACATTAGAGAGAGAAAATGATACGCATTTGCTACTTTTGCTCGCGTGGCATGCTAGCTCCGCTGTCCTGCTCGGATCCAAGTCAAAATGACCGCCCCTACCCCTGGCATCTTTATTCCCCCTCGACCTACTCCACTCTCTCCCATCTACTCTCCTTTCTCCTTTCTCTACTCCGCGCGACGCTCGCCAGCTGCCGCCACCCCCGCCACGCACAACGTCGCCCCCCACCGCGAGCCATGTCCCATTACGCCGAGTCATCTAGAGTTGGAAGGGCGAGGAGTTGGATCCAAGGTGGCCAGAGCTCTCGCATTGCCTCTATCTATGTGGATCTAATAGGTGAGTTGAGAGGCCTCCTGTTGATCCCTTGCTCGGACTACGGCTTTGCTCGGGTGGTGGAGGGGCGGACCAAGAAGGATGGTGAAAACCACGAGCGTCTGTACTTCAAGTGTGCAAGGAATAGGATGAGTTCTGTGTATTGTGTATCCCCCCATTGTCACTATTAGGGTTCTAATTTTGGTTGTTTTTTCAGTTTCCCAAGCTGTATGGGTACTATAGATTTGAGAAGCAGTACTTCGAGCAGCTAAAGGAGAAGGGCATCATCCAAGTTCGCCCCTCGAACTAGGCAGAGTTGATAGATCATGAAGATATTTCAGTTGACAGTCAAAATGGTGACAATAATAGGAAAGACCTGGAGCAGAAGATGGAGACATTGATTTGGAAGATGAACATATTCATTGTGTGTGTTGTATCTATTGTTTTTAGAGCTGTACTAATGTATGCTGCAATGAAGTGACAATGTATGGAAATGAAAATTGTGGTTCAATATGTCTTTGGGCAGTGCCTAACTTGGTTTTATTTTGGATTCATTGAACATAATACTAGTTGTACATGTTAACAAGAAACACAAGCCATTAACCATGACAGATTCAACATAACAGATCACACATAACAGATGCAACACATTAACCATAAACCAGCAATGCTACATTCAGGCCACATCAAACATAGTTGTTGTTCAGAGGAGTTGCCATAGGTTTTGACCACTTGCAATAGTTTAGGCCGCTTACATAGTTCTGGACACTTACATAAGCATGTTCTGGCCACGACAAGGCCTTAGTTACACAAAAGAAGTCATTTTGAGGGCCTTTTACAACCAAAATGAATGTCTTCCCTGTTGTTGCCCACTACATTCACTCATTTTCCACTTCTTGGCTAGACTCTTCTTGGTCTTGGTTGCTAGCTGCTTCTTCCTTGGAGTGAACTTCTTAGGAGGTGGTCCAATAGTTAATGCTGTAGCTTCATCTAGCTCACTCACAACTTGGAGTTCAAGGCATAAGTTCCTATTTGTGAAGACATTACATCAGAAAGGCAATAGGAAGACAAGTAGTAGTGTTTTTGAAGGATGGCATACCTCTGAGTGCTTGTAGGGGGTAGTGATGGCGTGTCGGTAGAATATCATCGGCAGTCCACCGAGGGGTATACCCACGATGGTAGATTGCATAGAGAGGTGCGCGTGAGCAGAAACTAGATGGCAACTGAGATATAAGATTAGACAGGTTCAGGCCATTAACTGGACGTAATACCCTAGTCCTGTGTTTTGTTGGTTTGTATTGGCTATCTTAGATGAATGAATATGTTTTGAGGGGGGTCCCCTACCCACCTTATTTAACCCGACGGGTAGGGTTACAGGCCGGTTAGATCTTAGTCTAATCGGGTAAGAGATAATCTTTACAAGGAATCTAACATACGGCATATCCTAAGAGATCTTGCGCCATCTTCAAGATATCACCTTGATGCCTTGCGGTGTGCGTCGAGCAGTGCCGTGCTCCGTAATTCGTCATTTGGTGGGTTGGACCATCCCTAATTTGTGTGGCCCATGTCGTGCGCCGTGGGTACCCGGTGTCGTACCCCGCACAGCTAGTCCCTGAGCGCCTTGTATGCGCTTGGTGACGTCATCTTGATCAAGTCCGAGAAACCTAGCACAAAGCCAATCTGTTTAACTGACGGTTCGAGCGGTGACAATCGAAGCCGACCAGTTTAACTGGTTGCCAGACCAATAGAAATGGATGCCGACTTGTTTAAATTGATAAGCAGACCAACAAAAATAAATGCCGACCATTTTCACTGGTTAGCGGACCAACAAAAATAACTATCAACCAGTTTAACTGGTTAGCATACCAACGAAAGTAACTATCGATCAGTTTAACTGGTTAGCAGACCAATGAAAATAGCTGTCGATCAATTTAACTGGTTAGCAGACCTCAGACTTAACCAAGTAAGGCTCACCAAAAGGATGAAAGGAGCTTAAGATTAAAATTAAAAAAATCTTCATCTTAGATGAAGTGTACACACTTAGGTGCCAGAAGCGATGTCAAATGAATATCTCCGATGACTTAGTCATCTTGATAAAAGCAAAGGTAGATGAGTACACACCTTAACCCAATCAAAATTCATGCTTCACACCTAATGAAGCCGGTACACACACCGTCAAGGTGCAATGTACACACTGTAGTCCCTATGCCTAACATTAGGTGAAGAATGCACCTAGTGTTAGGGTCAAATGAAATTGCCCAGTCCCCAGCTTAGCTGAGTATCCAGTAGTCCCCAGCTTAGCTGAAAACTAGGAAAACACAATACACTTACCGCTAGGTGAAATATACACACTTAGTCCCCGAGCCTGCTGGAAGATAAAGAATTATCTTGTAGCAGGGTCAAAGATTTCAAGTGAAAATATTTCTAGAAAACAGAATCTAGGTGTGCTTAGCATTTGACCAACATAATAATCAAGCATGCGCTATGACACATGCAGTGTAGGTAAGATAACCATGCCACCCGT